CACGGCGAGCAGCGTCCACCTTCCCACGAGACGACTGCGTGAGGGTGTGCTTCGTTGCGTCCCATGTCTCCTGCGAGAATGTGGCCCGGACCTTGACCTCCTCCGCGCTGAGGGTTGTGCCCGTGGAGCTCTTGTCGCCACCAGCACTCTTGCCTTTGAAGAGCTTGCCGTTGAGACCCCACTGGTTGCTCGGCTGCGAGTTGGCCCACTTGCCGCGGGTGGGGGGCTGACGAAGCTGCCGCGGTTGGTGCTGCCCTGCTCCGCGCGGAAAGCGAGGTCGCATGCCTCCGCACCCCGCCTTTGTGCAACGAGTGCGGTCAGCCGCGTGGTACTCTCCACGCACGCACTGCCACTGAGGTGCCACGGCCGGGACACGCTCTGTGTTATAAGTGCCAAAACTATGGGAGCCGCGCGCGCCGCTGAGAGTCGAGCTCGGGAAACAGAGCTATCCCGTGTCGGCCAGGAGGCTTGCAGCCTCCCAAGCATTGAGTCTTGAGCCAAAATGGCTACGGAGGGGATTAGAGCCACAGGAGAAGGGCAATCTATAGGAACACGCGTAAAACACCAAGGACTCGCGCCCCAGGAGAGGCCCAATACATAGTAACATGAGTAAAGCATTTAGGATTGTGTACACAGGAGAAGGACCATCTATAGAAACATACGTAGAACATCAAAGAATCGTGCTCCAGGTGAGGCCCAATCGATAGGAGCATACGTAAAACACATGGGATTGGAGCCACTCCTGTTGCCTTCTGAGGCCTCCTGCTCCTGGGGCCTCTCGGGGCCTCCTGTTGCCTTCCGAGGCCTCCTGGCGCTTCCTGTTGCCTCCTGGGGCCTCCTGTGGTTTCCTGAGGCCTTCTGGAGCTTCCTGGGGCCTCCTGGAGCCTCTTGGGACATCCTGTGGCATCTTGAGTCTTTCTGTGGCCTCCTGATGCCTCCTGGGACCTCATGTGGTCTCCTGGGGCCTCCTGGAGCCTGTTGGAGCCTCCTGTGGCATCCTGAGAAGAATCTGCGCCCACGAGCCTGGCCACCAAAACAAGCAAACCGATCGAGGCATCCTCAAAATCTGGCCCACCTGGGGAGTGAGAATGAGCGCCTCGCTCGAGACATCCTCCAAATCTGCTCCGAAAGCGAAGGATGTTGGGCACAGAAACAAACAAACCGCCTGAGACATCCCCACAAAATGGCCGCGAACGAGCCCGTGCAAACACCCCTGGCGGCTCCCCTTAGGGGTGCTGAAATGAGCGCCTCGCTCGATACATCCTCCAAATCTGCTCCGAAAGCGAAGGATGTTGGGCCCAGAAACAAGCAAACCGCCTGAGACATCCCCACAAAATGGCCGCGAACGAGCCCGTGCAAACACCCCTGGCGGCTCCCCTTAGGGGTGCTGAAATGAGCGCCTCGCTCGAGACATCCTCCAAATCTGCTCCGAAACGAAGGATGTTGGGCACAGAAACAAGCAAACCGCCTGAGACATCCCCACAAAATGGCCGCGAACGAGCCCGTGCAACCACACCTGGCGGCTCCCCTTAGGGGTGCTGAAATGAGCGCCTCGCTCGATACATCCTCCAAATCTGCTCCGAGAGCGGAGGATGTTGGGCCCAGAAACAGGCAAACCGCCTGAGACATCCCCACAACATGGCCGCGAACGAGCCCGTGCAAACACCCCTGGCGGCTCCCCTTAGGGGTGTTGAAGTGAGCGCCTCGCTCGAGACATCCTCCAAATCTGTGTATGAGTAAGTCTGTGTAAGAGTACGTCTGTGTATGAGTATGTCTGAGTGTGGGTAAGTCTGAGTATGAGTAGGTCTGAGTATGAGTAAGTCTGGGTATGAGTAAGTCTGTGTATGCGCAAGTCTGAGTATGTCCGACAGGAGGGGAGGAGCAAAGAGGAGGAGGAAGCAGGAGGAGTAGGAGGCGTCCAAATAATAATTATTCACTGTGTGGAGCTCCCCATATGTGCATCTACTCGCATGGACCTGTCCGCCGTGAGTGTCTAGGCGCAAGAGCTTTCGAATATTAACGGGCTTCAGTTGTGACGGTCTGGACATCAATCTAACTGCGAATGAATTGGAGTGTGAATGGGCCTCAGTAGTACGAGCGCGTCTCTGTGCATGAGCCTGGGGCCTCCTGGGGCCTCCTGAAACCTACTGGGGCTTCCTGGGGTCTCCAGGGGCCTCTTGGGACCTCCTGGGACCTCCTAGGAAGGTTTCGTGCCCCAGGAGAGGCGCAATCTATAGCAACAGACGTACATAAAACATTGCGGATTAGAGCCACAGGAGAAGGGCAATCTATAGGAACACGCGTAAAACACCAAGGACTCGTGCCCCAGGAGAGGCCCAATACATAGGAACATGAGTAAAACATTTAGGATTGTGTACACAGGAGAAGGACCATCTATAGAAACATACGTAGAACATCAAAGAATCGTGCTCCAGGTGAGGCCCAATCGATAGGAGCATACGTAAAACACATGGGATTGGAGCCACTCCTGTTGCCTTCTGAGGCCTCCTGCTCCTGGGGCCTCTCGGGGCCTCCTGTTGCCTTCCGAGGCCTCCTGGCGCTTCCTGTTGCCTCCTGGGGCCTCCTGTGGTTTCCTGAGGCCTTCTGGAGCTTCCTGGGGCCTCCTGGAGCCTCTTGGGACATCCTGTGGCCTCTTGAGTCTTTCTGTGGCCTCCTGATGCCTCCTGGGACCTCATGTGGTCTCCTGGGGCCTCCTGGAGCCTGTTGGAGCCTCCTGTGGCATCCTGAGAAGAATCTGCGCCCACGAGCCTGGCCACCAAAACAAGCAAACCGATCGAGACATCCTCAACATCTGGCCCACCTGGGGGGTGAACATGAGCGCCTCGCTCGAGACATCCTCCAAATCTGCTCCGAAAGCGAAGGATGTTGGGCCCAGAAACAAGCAAACCGCCTGAGACATCCCCACAAAATGGCCGCGAACGAGCCCGTGCAAACACACCTGGCGGCTCCCCTTAGGGGTGCTGAAATGAGCGCCTCGCTCGAGACATCCTCCAAATCTGCTCCGAAAGCGAAGGATGTTGGGCCCAGAAACAAGCAAACCGCCTGAGACATCCCCACAAAATGGCAGCGAACGAGCCCGTGCAAACACCCCTGGCGGCTCCCCTTAGGGGTGCTGAAATGAGCGCCTCGCTCGAGACATCCTCCAAATCTGCTCCGAAAGCGAAGGATGTTGGGCCCAGAAACAAGCAAACCGCCTGAGACATCCCCACAAAATGGCAGCGAACGAACCCGTGCAAACACCCCTGGCGGCTCCCCTTAGGGGTGCTGAAATGAGCGCCTCGCTCGAGACATCCTCCAAATCTGCTCCGAAAGCGAAGGATGTTGGGCCCAGAAACAGGCAAACCGCCTGAGACATCCCCACACAATGGCCGCGACCGAGCCCGTGCAAACACCCCTGGCGGTTCCCCTTAGGGGTGCTGAAATGAGCGCCTCGCTCGAGGCATCCTCCAAATCTGTGTATGAGTAAGTCTGTGTATGAGTAAGTCTTTGTATGAGTATGTCTGAGTGTGAGTAAGTCTGAGTATGAGTAGGCCTGAATATGAGTAAGTCTGAGAATGAGTAAGTCTGTGTATGAGCAAGTCTGAGTATGAGTAACTCCGACAGGAGGGGGGGAGGAACGAGGAGGGAGGAGGAGGAGTAGGAGACGTCCAAGTAATAACAATAACCCCATCTTAGGATATGGGGAACAAGAACCCCATCTTAGGATATTGGGAACAAGAACCCCATCTTAGGGTATGGGGAAAACGAGATTTCTCGGAGAGGTGAGGTCTGTCCTGGAGGGAAGGGGGGGTCTGTCGGAGTGTGTGTGTGTGTGTGTGTGTTTGTGAGAGCGGGGGGGGGTCTGTAGGAGAGAAAGCGGAAGAGCGGAAAAGGGAAGGGGGGGGGTCTGTCCTGGAGGCGGGGGGCGGTTTGTAAGAGAGAAAGCGGGAGAGCGGAAAGTGATATGTCGGACGGGGGGGGTCTTTTTTTGTGGGGGGGGGGTGTTGTCGGAGGGGGGGATCAGAGAAGAATATTCCTCTCGGAGAGAGGGAAGTGTATGTGTGTGTGTGTGTGTGTGTGTGTGTGTGTGTGTGTGTGTGTGTGTGTGGGAGGCGGGGGGGCTTGTGCGTTCAGTGAAGTCGGTTGGAATTCGTCCCCCCCCTCTCCAGAGCGAAGCTTGAGCGAGCTCAAGCCCACGCTCTCGCACACTCACACGAAGGGGGGGTCTATTTTTCGGGGTGGGGGGCTGTCGGGGACAGGGGGTGGGTCAGAGAAGAAGATGCCTCTCGGAGAGAGGGAAGTGTGTATGTGTGTGTGTGTGTGTGTGTGTGTGTGTGTGTGTGTGTGTGTGTGTGGGGGAGGCGGGAGGGCTTATGCGTTCAGTGAATTCCGTTGGAATTCGTCCCCCCTTCTTTCCAGAGGTTGCGCGTTCAGTGAATTCCGTTGGAATTCGTCCCCCACTCTCCAGAGCGAAGCGTCCTCCCCCCCTCTCCCTCTCAAGAGCTTGTGCGTACAGGGAATTCCGTTGGAATTCGTCCCCCCCTCCCCCGGGGGCTTGTGCGTTCAGTGAATTCTGTTGGAATTCGTTCCCCCTCCCTTTCCAGAGCTTGTGCGTTCAGTGAATTCCGTTGGAATTCGCCCCCCTCCCCCCCTCCACTCTCCAAAGCGAAGCGTCCCCCCCCTCTCCAGAGCTTGTGCGTTCACTGAATTCCGTTGGAATTCGCCCCCCCCCCTTTCCAGAACGAAGCTTGAGCGAGCTCAAGCCCACGCTCTCACAAACTCGCACGCCGGATCGGCGGATTACACGGGTTCATTTCGAAGAACGACAGGCGCCACACGCATATAGTTTTGACGCTCCGCGCGGATTTCTTTGGGTCCACGGGCTCCGCGCGGAGCGCCACCAGTATGGGCTTATCGTGTTCTCTTCTATTATTGTACTCCCCTTCGCGCTCCCCCTCCTCCTCCCCCCGTCCTCCCGACGGCGACGCGCCGCGGTCGAGGCGGCGGAGAGCCCCAAGGAGGTGCCGCGAGCGCCCGCCGCGCCCGCCGCCGTCGCGGCGGCGGCGAGCGCCCCAGAGGCGCCGTCGTCGTCGTCGTAGCCGGGGGGAGGAGGGGGAGGAGGGGGAGGAGGAGGGAAGGGGGGGAAGGGGGAGGAGGAGGAGGAGGAGGATGGAGGGAGGGAGGGAGGAGGAAGGAGGGAGGGGGAGGAGGGAGGAGGGGGAGGAGGAGGATGAGGAGGAGGAGGGAGGGAAGGGGGGGGGGAAGCACCCGTGCGAGCTGCACATCCGACTCGGGTGAGCTGGCCCGAGGGCGCTTCGCGGTGCATCGGCCGGTGAAGCCGAAGCCAAGGGCTGAAGTGAACAGGGAAATAGAACAGGATGAGGAGGAGGAGGATGAGGAGGAGGTGTAGGAGGAGGAGGAGGAGGAGGAGGAGGAGGAGGAGGTATAGGAGCAGGAGGAGGAGGAGGAGGAGGAGGGAGACGGGATTGAGGAGGAGGGCGGGAGGGGAGGGGAGTGGAGGAGGAGCCAGGCAGGAAGAGAAGGAGGAGGAGGAGGAGGAGGAGGAGGAGGAGGAGGAAAACAGCGTGGGTGGCGATTGACGCCATAATGGAAATTGATGGATGTACGTTAGACCCCTCTTTGGGGGACGTCTTCATTGACCGAGGGTCCCCAGGGGGAAAAGACGTCGACCCAAGGAAACGAGTACAACCCATGACACGGGGGCGCGAACCCCAAAGCGGAAACAAACGTAACAAACCCGTAGGACAGGGGACGCACGAATCATGGATCTCGGGAATCGTAGAATCTGGGACGCACAGACGGCGCTGGCCGCCGAAGCCTGGAAACTGGCTGAGGCGGAGGAGGAGGGGGGGAGAACATTGCAGAAGACTATGAGGAGAATGAGGGCGACGATGGGGAGGCTGGCTGGCCGGATACTCTGCATATGGTCAAGTCTCAAGATCTGAGTCATGAGTGTGACCGCAGGGCGCATGTGAGACATCCTGCTCACATTGTCGTGGGAACACTTCCCAGCATCGATACGGGAACACGCCGAGGAGGAAGAGGGAGTAGAGGGGAGGGGGGCCTGCTCACCGCCTGTCTGTCCTTTTGTTGCCATTGCCCCTCGTCGAAGCCGCCGCCGCCGCCGCCGCCGTCGTCGTCGCCGTCGTCGTCGTCGTCGTCGTCGTCGTCGTCGTCGTCGTCGTCCTCGTCGTCGTCGTCGTCGTACCCGTCGCCCACTCAGACTCACACTCACACCCAGGCACCCACAAGCAAATGCTCACAGCGGCATATCGGCACGTCGAGAGTAATTTGATCATCGACGCCCTGGCGTCAGAACCCCTTCTCTGCCTCTGGCCAGTTGCCGGGCCCGCCAGAGCCGCCCTTCGACTCCCCGCCACGCCCCGGGAGTGTTTTTGGCAGCACGGCATTCTCCCGGGGACCCCCAGACGGGGTGATGACAACACCGTGTGGTGAGTCGATGGGGATTCGGGGTCACCGCACGGTCTTGGGACTCGGGTCGTTCTCCGAGGACGCCTCGGGCGACCAGGGCCTCCGAGGTTCCAAGACCGTGCGTTGACGGACCGTAGGGGGACGAACAATGACATAAACATAAAAGCTCAGAGGTCCGCGCGGATTTCTCGGATTCGCGCTGGACCCCCCTCCATGGCGTGCAGAGCGCGCCAGGGGCGGCGCCGGAGGCGCCGCCAGGGGGGGTCCAGCGCGAATCCCAGAAATCCGCGCGGACCTCCGAGTTTTTATGTTTATGTATATGTTTATGTAATTGTTCGTTCCCCGAGACCGTGCGGTGAGGTCTCTTGGGGGATTTCGAGGTCACCGCACGGTCCGTCACCGCACCGCTTCGGGACTCTTAGTTCTCAGACCTGGCGGCGTGGAGGTGCGGGGGCGCAGGGGCGGTGCGCCGCGTCTCCCCGTGCGTCGCGCGCCGTTCGTGGGGGGCGCTGTCTCCGGGGGTGCGCGGTGCTCTCTCTCTCTCTCTGCGCCATGTGTGCGGCCCCGCGGAGGAAGTGCTGAGGATGAGGAGGAAGTGGATCGGGTATAGGCAGGACCCCAGGCAAGGGGACCCCGTTAGTGGTAGGGCTCCGGAGCCCTTCAATGGGCCAGAATCACTAAGCCAGGTTTGCCGTAGCTGGTGTGTTCGGGTGACGGCAGTTCCGGTTAGTGGAACGGGGCGCGGCGGGGGCTTCCCCAATACACATCATTGAACCAGGTCCCACTAAAGCCAGTTCTGCCAACGCCCGAGTGGAGGAGGAAACAAAGGCGATGGGGCGGAAAGGACACCGAGGAAGAATGCGAGGCGAAGGGAGACGACGAGGGAGACGAGGAGGACGAGGAGCAGGAGCGAACGTTTCGCGTGGATAGCGAGGAGGATGACGGTAGAGAGGAGGAGGAGGCGCGAGCGGAGGGAGACGAGGAGGACGAGACGCGCCGCGGGCGGGGGGAGCAGGCCGAAAATGAGCAGCGGGAGGAGGTCGTCGCGGTCGTCGTTTGGGCGAGTCGGGATCCGGGGCAACCCGCTGGTTGCTTCCCGCGTTGCCAGGTGACGGATAGAGTTGTGGATGCCACGACAATGGACACACTAACAATTCTATCATTGAATTAGACATGTGTTCTAAATGTGTAAAGCATGTTCTAACATTTGTTCAAACATGTCTGGACATATTAAAAAAATGTTTGAAACATGTGTAAGACATCCAGAAATTATTTGGCAGCATGTTTCCCTTCCATCTAGTCGACTTCCACGAGGATAGAGCGGGGTGTCATTCGGTTCGGCTCCCCTGCGCTGCCGCGCGACGTGGGAGACTGGAACGCACTGTCCGCGTCCAGCGCCGCCGCGCGGCGAGTGGAACGGAATGGTGCCCAGTGGCGCTGCCGCGCGATTCCACCGCCACGTGCGGGCGTGCGCGGGGGGAGGTGGGCGCCGGGGGTGGGGGGGGCGGGGCGGAAGGGAGACGCCGCGGACCCTGGCACTTTCTGGTCTCCCCAGCCCTCTGGGCGTAGGTGGGCCTTGTCCTCTTCCAAGAAATCCCTCTGCCCCCTCGGGGAGGGGTTTACCCTCTCCCCCATCCACCTTCCCCTGGACTCTTTTGAGAGGTGTCGCGGGCGGTCGGAAAGCTCTGTTTCGGCCCTTGGAAGTGCCAATTTTTAACACCCCTCACGAGGATCGTGGCCCCCGAGGGGGGACCTCGATCGGGAGAATCCCTCCTTTGATCGATAGCCTCGAAGATGGCCTCACGAGGCGCTCCGGGGCTCCCAAGAGAGCCCCAAAAGGACTTCAAGTGGGTCCCAGGAGGGCCCCAAGAGGCACCCGAGAGGCCCCCCAAGAGGCCCCCGAGCGGCCTCAGAGAGCCCAAGATGACCTCCGAGATGGCTCAGATAGCCCAAGCTAGTTCAAGATGGCCCCAAGACCGTTCCAAGAGCGTCCAAGAGCGCTCCAAGAGAGCCCCAAGCCGCGGGTTGCCGGCTCCTGAGAGGGGGAGCTGAGTTGGGGATCCCCCCATCTTGCAATCGATGGCCTCCAAGATGATCCCAAGAAGCTTTCCAGGGTTACCAAGAGGGTTCCAAGAGGGCCCCAACACTCCCAGAGAGCACCAACAGCACAGCAGCAACCGCAAGAATGCCTCCAGATGGGTCCATGAGTCCTCGTCCGCGCCGTCCTCATCCTAGTCCTCGTCCTACTCGTCCTCGTCCTCATCCGCGTCCTCGTCCTCCCCGTACTCCTCGTCCTCCCCCTCCTCCTTCTCCTCCTCTTCCCCTCGCCCCCACGCGGGACCCAGGGATGGCCAGAAGAGGGCTTCCGAGGCCACCCCCTTGCTCCCAGAGATCTCTCGATTTACCCTAGTTGCTCGTTTTGTTTCCCTAGATGTGTCTCTTCGTCCCTTTTACCGTCAGCTCTGATGGGCAGGGCTTCTGAATGGGCTGGCGGGGATGCTTTCTTTGATCGCGAGCGCTAACGGTACGACCGCGCGCCGAAAGTAACAAGAAAGCCGGGCCAAGCTCTAAATCAACCGCGAGCAACAGGAGCGAATTACGCTGCAGCTCAGGGGGAGAGAAAGACGCTGAAGAACAGGTCGAAAACGCTGAAGGACAGGTCGAACACGCCGAAGCCGTGGAAGAGCAGGAGGAATTGGTCAGCGTGCAGCGCCACAACGGCGGAGCAATTGACGCCCAAGCCCTCGACGGTCACGTCCACGTCTACGAGGAAGACAAAAGCACGACCGTGAAGTCGAGGAAGGCGAACGTGCAGGCGCTCGACGGAACAGGCTGGCGGGGATACTTTTTGGTCTGCGGGCTCGCGAAGCACGTTGAAAGCCGTCCGATCACTAGCCGGGCCGCGACTGGACAGCAAAAAAAAGGGGGGCAAGCGAAGCGAGCGCGCGGGCAGCCACTGAAAAGTGCACCGGGAGCGGCACTCCCAACCCGGTGGCGTGGAAATCCCGGAGGCGACCATCAAGTAGGCGCAGCCAAACTGGCGCGGCGGCGCGACCATGAACACGCAGAGGTCGATCACCCGTTGTGAGTCGGCACAGGGCCCGACGAAAACGAGCAGGTCCGACAGACACTTCAGGGCGATATCCGTGCCGTAGGTGACACAACAGCATCGTGTCGGCTCCGGAGTGAGGAGGGGGCAGCCTCGTCGCAGACAGGACTGCAAACAGCAGATCTTCTGGTATGTACACTCGGTGGCACAGGTCGAAAGCGAAGTCCATGAAGGAGAAAGCAGCCGACGGGCGCCCAGAACCACACATGCCGAACTCCTTGCACCGAAGAGGACGGCACCGTAGCAAGTCCCCACGGAACCCAAACGGTCACCAATAGAGGTTGACACCAAGCAGGAGCAGACCATGGGCCACCTGGCCGCCCATCCCTTGTGTGGTCATGCATGGAATTCGAAGCGAGACCCCACGGAACCCTCCCGGTCGCCAGTGGAGGCCGATACCAGCCAGGAGCAGGTCAGGGGCCACTTGACAGTCCGTTCCCACTGTGAACCTTGCATGGAATTCAGGTTTTCAGAGCACCATCGGACAGCAGTGTTGGCGGCGACCCCAGCCGCGTGGGATAAACCCTGCGAAACTACTACTACGACCACCACCACTACTACTACTAGTACCACCACTACTATTGTTTCTACTGCTACTACTACTACTACTGCTACCATAACCTGGTGTACACTGACGCGCGCGCCAGGCTCTCGGTGCCGAATGCATGATCACAGTGACGCAGGAGGGGGAGAGTCAGCTAACCGCTGAAGCAGAAGGAGAAGAAGGAGGAGAGCTCACCATATCCCTGTGTGCACTGACGCGCGCGCCAGGCGCTCGGTATCGAAGCTTACCTCAGTATACCCGCCACGGGCACCAGTTTGCCATAGCTCTTCACACGAAGTCCTGGGATAAGCTGGGTTCTTTCGGCCGCGAAGTAGCGTGCAGTCACGGATGGTGAAGTCCTCCATTGAGCTAGCACACCATCCCATATGCGCCAGCGGGTGTAGGCTATGCATGTGTTTTTGTTGAGCCGCGCACTAGTTACTGCACGAGACCTCAGGGGGGCGCGGTCGATGAAGCATTCCGGACGCTCTTCAATGGGACGCTTGGCATGGGCAATCACGGTGGGATGCCAGCCTGATGCCAGCATAGAGCCGCAGTGATTGCGAAGGAGGCAGAAGGGAAGGGAGAGCAGGGGAACGCGGCTAATCGCCGCACGCACACGAGAGCGAGTTAGCAGCGTAGTCCCATGGCGCACCGCATACCTGGTGTGATGACAGAGCCGTATCTCGTCGAAATTGGGTGATGCCCCACGCCCACGATTACTGACGATACCGTTTCTTGCGCCATGAACTCCATGGGCCGTCGGTTACCCGGTTGATTTTTCACAGCCTTGCCCAGTGAATCGGGTCCGTCCTTCGTCTTGCTTTTCCCCTTGCTCGGGTGCTCTCCCGTTGCGTGGGACCTGGGGGCGGCGGTCCCGCTGCTGCTGGCAGCTCCTGAGCTGGAGGCGTCATTGATAGCCGTGAGCTTGTCCGTTGGGCTGCGAAAGCAGGTCTTGGTGCACAGGATATGGTCAGCGCGGTACACGTCGTAGTTTGCAGCCCTCCAGGCGTTGAGGAAAACCCGGCACACGCTTGGCGGCTGCAGTGCTGGGTCAAAGGTCGGCTGGGCGTGAGTGAGGCATGTTCTGGTGCAGTGTGCACACCACAGGTCGCTGAACATGCTGCCCATCTCTTTCTGCATCGAGAGGATGAAAGCGCTGCCAGACTCACAGGAGTATTGTGAGTCGATCGTGCGTAGTCCTTGTACATCTTGGACCCGTCGTTCTTCTTGGGCTCGTTGGTGGACAGTGGGTTTTTGGAGAAGGGTACCCATATGCCATGATTGAAAATCCCGTCGCTTCCCGTGCGCATCTCCTGGTGACGCCAAGCGTCGTCGCGAGAATGCGTGACCCGGCGGTCTGAGGACTTGTCGTAATTCCACTGGTCCCTGTATCCGCGCGAGGAACCAGCCCTGTCGTCAGCGTTGTGCTGCGTTGGACCGTCTCGTTGTCCTCGTTTGCTGCTTTGTTCCCAGCCTCGCACGTACCCTTCCGGAGGAGCCCGGTGTGGTGTGGCGGATCTTGCTTCCTTGGCAGCGGGGGTCTGTCGTCCGTGATGCTGGATGTTTCGTCATCGGCTGTCCCGGTGTTGTGACCATCGCCTGTAGCTTGGCTTCCTGTCGGCTCACCTCAGCCGGGTCGTGGTCCAGTTCGTCACCGTAAGGGTCCCTGACGTGTGCCACCCACAGCTTCTTTAGCCGATCGTCCTTCCCGATGAGGTGTATCACGACCGTGAAGCGGGGACACGCGAAGCGTGAAGAATTGAGGTCGATTTTTTCGCCAGGACGCTGTCGCACACGGAGGGGGGAGGCGCGAGGCGGGGGAACGGACGGGAGGAGGGGTCCTATCAGAGGAGGAGAAGGCAGCCCATTCCTCTACCCTTCGCCCGTTTCTCCGTCTGTCGGCATTCTGGGAGGCCCTCGTCGTCGCCACCGCTGGATCCGCCTCGAATGTCTGATCAGAGCGCACCCACGAAGATGTCCGGGGAGTAGCGGTATCGGTACCTTTTTGTCTCCGCAGCCTAACCCTGCTTTTCGCGCGCGTGGCGGGTCGAGAATGATATTGTTTGGTTTGCCCGCCCGCGTTGCCGCGTGACTGGCTGAGTTGCGAGTTGTCTCCGCCCTCCCCATTGCGCTGCCACGCGACGAGTGGCGTCGAATCATAATTGTCTGCGCCTTTTGCGAAGCTACGCGTCAAGTGGAATGGAACAGTCGTTGTCCGCCTCCGCCCCAAGGTCTTGCCGAGTGTCGGGTGGAATTCAAAGCTCTGTTTCCTGCCGCGTTGCGTTGCCGTGCGGCGAGTTGTGTGACGCAGCATGTTCCGAATGTGCGTTGCCGTGCGGCTAGGTAACTGGAGAAGGGGGACGAGGAGGAGGAGGAGAACGAGGAGGAGGTGGAGGAGGAGGAGGAACAAAAGGAGGGGGATGACGAGGAACAGGAAAATGAGGAGGAAGAAAAGGAGGAGGAGGAGGAGGAGGGGAGAAGAAGGAGGAAAAGGAGGAGGAGGAGGAAGAGGAGGAGGAAAAGGAAGAGGTGGGGGAGGACAAGGGGGAGGTGTAGGGGTAGGAGATGCGGGAGGAGGAGGAGGAGGAGGAGGAGGAGGAGATGCGGGAGGATCCTCGAGGAGGAGGAGGAGGACGAGGAGGAGGAGGACGAGGAGGAGGAGGAGGAGGAGGAGGAGGAGGAGGATGTGGAGCGGGCGAGCGGCGAGTGGACGGACGCCACGCTCGCGGCTTGGCCACGCGGGGCCTAGAGTGGCGCCGGCGGGCATTGCGGGGCCGGCCGCCGGCCGTCCCAGGAGGCCAGCTGCTCTTGACGCAGCGGTCGTCTCTGCCAGGAACCCTCGTCGTCGTCGTCGTCGTCGTCGTCGTCGTCGTCGGCGTCGGCGTTTGCGTCGTCGTCGTCGCCGTCGGCGTTTGCGTCGTCGTCGTCGTCGTCGTCGTCGTCGTCGGAGTCCTCGAAGTCCTCGTCGCCCTCGGAGTCCTCGGGGTCCTTGCTCTGGGCACCGCTGGGCGCCCGCGGGGAGCCCCGCGGCGGGCACGCGCCGGGGGCGCCCTCAGAGGGCCCGCGGGGCGCCGCGGCGGCGCCGGCGCGGCGGTCTGCGGCGACCCCCCCGGCGGCTGCCCTTGGCGCCTCCGCGGCGCCCGCGCCGAGCAGCGGCAGCGCCGCGCGCGCCGCCGCCTGCGGCCGGGGCGCGTCGCGGCGCCTCGCGGCGGCGGCGCTGCTCGGGGCCGTGCCGCCCACGACGCGGGGCGCCGTGCGGCCGAGGGCGGCGTGCCGCCGCCTGCGGCCGGGGCGCGCCGCGGCGCTGCGCGGCCCTCGCGCGCGCGCCCGCCGTGCGCTGCCCAGGCGCAGGCCGAGGGGCCCGCCGCGGTCGAGCCGGCGGTGGTCGGCGCCGCTGGCGGCGGCGCGCAGGGCCCGGCAGCAGTCGAGGCTGCTCCCTCTGTTTTTTTTTTTGTTTTTTGTTTTTTGTTTTTGTTTTTTTGTCTCTCTCTCTCTCTCTATAGATTCGGGGGAGCGTAAGACCTGGGTTTGCCAGGACTCGGGTTCGCCATCGTTTTTTGACGACCGCGACTCGGATTTTGACGAGTAGGAGTTTCGTGGGATGTCTGCAGCGGGAGGCCTCGTCAAAATGCAGGCTCGGCCTCGTCATTTGTTTGACGACCTCGTCGGGGATTTTCGAGTCCCCTGTACCCCGGTCTTACGCCCCCCTGATAGATATAGATACATAGAATTATGTGTTTCTCTCCCCCCCTCTCTCTCTTCCTCTTCCCCTCCACCTCCCGCTCCCTTTCCCTCTTCCTGTCCCTCTTCCTCTTCCCCTTTGTTCTTCCGCTCTGTCTCTGACTCTCTCTCTCTCTCTCTTTTTCCCTGTCCCTCTCTCTCTCTCTTATCTCTCCCTTTCTCACTTCGTTCCTCGTGTCTCTCTCTCTCTCACTCTCTATCATCCTCGCACTCGCCAGTCAGACGGGAGGGGAAAGCTTGTAACAGCAGGAGGGCCACAGTCAAGATTTGTGAGTCACGATTTCGGCGGAGTCACAACTCATTTCTTCAGGTGAGGCTACTGTTCTTGCCTTCTTCGTGGTAGCATGATGACTGTAGCGCCTTGGTCTCTGGAAACTGTTCCGAGGGGGCTTTCCCCTCATCCTCTCCTACCGCCTCTATCCACCTCGATGACCTTGGCGCCCCAATGGAGCGCCGCGTCGAGCTCGCGTCAACAGGATCGTAGGAGTAGGATACGCGGAGGGTCCCCCCCCCCTCTAGGTCGGGTGGCAGCGTCCATCCGAGGCTCCCTGCCAGCAGGGGATCTGCAAAGCGGGCTCGCTCCCCTGACGCTTTCCCTCCATCTCGCCAGAAGCAACGGTCTCACAGGGGAAGGATGAGGAGCAGTGAGGGCCCCCCCCCCTCTAGATCGGGTGGCAGCGTCCATTCGAGGGTCCCTGCCAGCAGGGGATCTGCAAAGCGGGCTCGCTCCCCTGACGCTTTCCCTCCATCTCGCCAGAAGCAACGGTCTCACAGGGGAAGGATGAGGAGCAGTGAGGGGCACGGCGCCCTGGGCCGAGCCTGCCGCCTGTGCCGTGGCATCACCTTCATGGGCGCGAAGGCTATGGATCGCGCTTCACACTTCGTGGCCTCGGCCGCACATGACGGGCCGATGTCACACCACACCACTGCCGTAGGGAGGAGGAGGAGGAGGAGGAGGAGGAGGAGGAGGAGGAGGAGGAGGAGGAGGAGGAGGAGGACCACATCCCAGACATAATTTCGATCACCCAGAATAGTGTCGAAAGAGTGTCGACAGAGTGTCGTCGAAACAGTGTCGAACGAGTGTCTCCATAGATCCGACACGTGAAAACACTGGTGATCAAGACTAAAGTAGGTTGGAACATCATAATGGGAGGAGGAGGAGGAGGAGGGAGGGAGGAGGGAGGAGGAGGGAGGAGGAGGAGGAGGGAGGAGTGGAATGGGGAGGGGGAGGAGGGGGAGGACGGGGAGGACCTCCCAATCCTCCTTTTCTCCCCCGTCCTGCCCATGGTGGTGGTGGAACATTGGCCCATCAGCAGAGTTGCCCTCCTCCGGGTGTGGGGGGCGCGAGAGCGCGCAGAAACAATCTGACCTCGCGCAGTCCGGAGCTCGAACTTTTACCATACGTCGCCGGGAGCGAGGAGGAGCAGAATGATGAAGAGGACTTACTTCAATGCTCGTTTGGGGGACCTTCCTGGGGCCTGCCTAATGCATCTGTTCGACTCCAGGTCGACTCAAGTTCGAGTCAGGTTCGACTCAGGTTTGACTCATGGTCGACTCAGGTTCGACTCAAATCGGCGGACGTTCGACGCAGCCTCGACGCGCGAGTGGAGCGAGCGTCTCCAGGAAGGTCCCCAGAACGAGCGTCCAGACGTGCCGTACCCGCCGTCGTCGCGCCTCGAGGGTCGAGGAGCGAGGCTGTTGGTGCTGAAGCCCTTTACTACGCAGGGCGCCTTGGAGGAAGTCTCCAGCGAGCGACTCGCAAGCAGCGGATGCTGATGGGCCAGTTTTCCACCACCGCCACCATCCTCCTCCTCCTCCTCCTCCTCCTCCTCGTCCTCCTCCTCCTTGGAGGTGGAGGGGGTCCTCCTCCTCCTCCTCCTCCTCGTCCTCCTCCACCTCCACCTCCTCCTCCTCCTCCTCCTCCTTCTCGTCCTCCTCCTCCTCCCTCACACCATCCCACTTGTGGTGGTGGTGGTGGACAGCAGGCCCATCGGATGCGGTGTACCCTCGTGTGGAAAGCGGCGGTGGGGCCTCCTGCGCAAGGTTGCCGCATATCTATCTATCTATATATATAGATATATGTGTATATATATATATATGTATATACATATATCGGACCCTCCGTGCTGCGTGCGGCGCCATGGCGGGCCAGGCCGGCTCATCCGGGCACCTGCTCGGGCCGCCGTGTCTGGGCCCCTTTGCGAGCCGATCGAGCCGCTTCGATGTTAAGGGGGGCCACATGCGACCCCTACCCCTACCCCCCACGATTTCTGAGAGGGAGGGTGGGGCTCACTTCGCTCGAGAGCTCCCGAACGAAGTGAACCCCACCCTCCCCCTCAGAAATCGCGGGGGGTAGGGGGGGTAGGGTTCGCATGTGCCCCCCCAGATGCCGAATCCGTCCGACCCGATCCGATGCGACCCCGGGTTTGCGGGTCGAGGTCGTGCATCATGGTGCGGCCGATCGGATTCTAGTCCGGCTCCGTGCCGATGCCGACTTCCTCGGTGTTCGGTCCGATCTGCTCTGCTTTTCCGACCCGATGTCGATCGATCTTGCCGTGTCCTTGGTCGCGGGGTTTCCTCCGTCCTCGTGTCTCACACGACGGTGCCAGTGCAAAAAAACACTCCCTGCTCCGTCCAAGGGTGGCTCTTGCAACGAAGCGCCAAATGGTGGCGAGAGCACGCCCCCAGCAACAGATGTTCAATTGAGCAGCGTGCTCCCCCTGTTCTCACGTTGCATCTTCGAGGGACCTCGCCTGTCCTCAACATTGGTATCTTCTGTTGGGCTCGACGCGGGCTTCATGCGGACTCGACGCTGATTTGGCGAGCTCGATTTGTATTCGACACGGATTCGAAGCAGAGGGCCGGGACGGGACAAACATGGTCCCCGAGGATGCGACGTAATGTTCCGTCTTCCTCTCCCCGCGCCCATGCTTGCCGGGTGCAGGTTGCCGGCAGCGTCGAGAAGCGTTTCACCGACAGCACCGGGCCCATAGGTTCGACCGCGGACGGAGGAGGAGGAGGAGCAGGAGGAGGAGGAGGATGAGGAGGAGGCAGGAAGGGGAGGAGGAGGAGGAGGAGGAGGAGGAGGAGGGCGAGGACGACGACGAGGACGACGAGGAGGTGGAGGCGGAGGAGGAGGAGGAGGAGGAGGAGATGAGGAGGAGGAGGAGGAGGAGGAGGAGGAGGAGGAGGAGGAGGAGGAGGAGGAGTGGGAGAGGGAAGAGGAGCAGGAGAAGGAGGAGGAGGAGGAGAGTGTGTTTTGGCGACCAGTAAGGAGAATCCGACTCTGTCTCGTTGTCCCCTCCCGAAGGGCGATGGCAGGCGTCATCGCACTCACAAGTGAGAGGCCCCGCCTCTACCCCCTGCTCCCAGTGCTGCTGCTGCTGCTGCTGCTGCTGCCGTGTTCCATCGTCTACACGTAAGAGTGACACTAGGTTAGCGCACGTGGGGGCCTAACGCAACCGCGCAAGCCAGTGCTGCCGCGCCGCATCCACGATCGGAGGGACGCGCCTCGAAAGATTCTCCGCGTCAGCGGGCAACTGCGGATTTCCGCCAATTGAGCGACGCACGATAACGGTGTCGTCTTCGCTGGCATTTGCGCGTAAGTTGCCCCCGTAAGGTCGCGCGCAAGCGCCCTCGTCTCCAATGGAGCGTGCCGCGCTTCCGGCCCTCGTGCAAGATCGATTTTTGATCGTCGTTCACTTAGACTCGAACGCCCTGAATGGCAATTCGAAGGCGCTACGAAAGCAGACGGTACCGTGGGCAACCTCGATGAGGTCTGACATCGTCGGGCCGCGTCGAGAGTTGTCTGACCAGGTCCAGCGTCGTGGCCACAACCAGCCCCATCAGAGGGTCCAGAATCTGTTTGGACATGTGCTGGAGATTTTGCGATAGTAGAGATGTCATCGGTTCGGAAAGATATTCACACATATTCAAAGATATTCAAAGATATTGACATCGGACGATTTGGGATTTGGGCTGGGATTCGGGACCTGTCCTGGGGCGGAAAACGCGCCGTCTGGTCGACTGCACCCCCTGGGGAAAGGAATGCGCACTTTAGGCTGCGCCGCGTAAGCGTTGCGGTCGATTGCAAGGGGGGACCCAACACTGCGCCCACCACGCGCTGCGGGTGCCGACACGAGGTCGAGCTCATTCCAGAAGACAGATTACCCGACCTTTTTGGGGCCAGCAACAAAGGGCACTTCTGCGAAGGGTGCGCCACGCTTGAGACGGGCTGCCCGCTGGAAGCACTCTGTGGACCTTTGGGGGCCCGAAACAGTGCGCTTCCCCTCCCCTTTCCATGGATGCTGCCCTGCTGCTGGACACCAGATACGCAAACGAACCCATGGCAGTTCCCAGACAAGCAACGCAAATTTATCGAAGTGTGAGCCCCGCACCTCGCACATCCCAGGTAGAAGGCCTCCTCAGCAGCCAGGAAAGGACACATTCAGATCCTGTGCCCCTCCAGGTTCTTGAACTCAACATGACAATGGACTGTTGTGGCATGGGCAGGCGAGCCTGCTCTTGCGAGTCTTTGTGCTGTCCTTGCACGCCCACGCCAGACAGCGGGGCACACACCCACTGAGTCTGCCTCCGAAGAACCAGGCGTTGGCGATACGTTCCTGTGCATCTCCCTTCCGGGGTGGGGGACGACGATGACCACGAGGCTCCGACCGAGGAGAAGGAGGAAGAGGAGGAGGAGGAGGAGGATGTGGAGGAGGAGGAGGTGGAGGAGGAGAAGGTGGTGGAGGATGTGGAGGAGGAGGTGGAGGAGGAGAAGGTGGAGGAGGAGGAGGAGGAGGAGCAGGAGGAGGAGGAGTAGCAGGAGGAGGAGGAGGAGGTGGAGATGCGGCGGCTGCCGAGAGAATGGCGGCCTGCCCTTCGACAGGCTGCGGCACGGTGGCCCGAGCAGCCCGCACCTGTCTCTGGATCCTCACCGGGGCCCCAGACCCCCCTGAAACTTGTGTCCGCTGGCCTGTGTGGCTGCCACCTGAGAGCACGATGTGAAGCCACTACTTGTTCCTCCTCCTCCTCCTCCTCCTCCTCCTCCTCCTCCTCTCGCTCCTCCTCGTCCTCCCGCTCCTCCTCCTCCTCCTCCTCCTACTCCTCCCTGCCTGCTCTGGGTTTCTTATTAAGCGCGGTGGGGTACCCCCCCCCCGACGGGGGTCAACCTCGCCCTGTCGTCGCTCTGCGACGGGGGACGGAGCGCCTTCGGCGCGCGATGGCTGCCCGCGACGGGGGTCGGTCTGGGGCTGTCGGCGGGGGTGACGTCCCCCCGACGCCTATGATTAAGAAACTCGGAGTGCACTCACCAAGAACGGCCAGCAACCTTCAGGAGGGAACGAAACACACAGACACAATCAATCGTCGATCCCCTTGAAAGTATGGGAAACTATGGGAGACAAAAACCCAGGAAGTGTGGGAAAAGATGGGGAATCTTGTTCTTTGTGTGTATTTGTTTGTGTGTCTGAGGGCTCCTTCAAATCTGGCTTCCCGTTCAAAATCCTCCACCTTCGCATCGGCAGACGGCGGTGCACTTGGGCCCCATTTCGTGCGGCCACTCACTGTCGGCCATGGGAAGTCCCGGTAGCTCTTGCAGTGCTCGTCGAAGTGCCTCTGCGCACACCGAGACGACTCGAAAGTGTGTGCCAACTGGAGACCAGCCAGGGAAGTATGGCTGTACCTGACATGCCGCTCGATCGCCTCCCTATTGATCGGGTGTGAACACCCGGTCCCGGAGCGGTTGAGGCAGTGGGCGCAGGAGAGTGGGAGAAGCGATGCTTCCATTCTTGAGGTTTCTATGTGCCGCTCGAGCGGTCGACATTGTGCGTATGATGTCTCCTATTTTTTTGACGACGTGTTTCTTGACAGTTGAAGTTGCTGCTCACATTCATTGTCCACTGTACATCTGTTGTACACCTGCCGTGCGCCTTGTGATTGTGCAGTGACTGTGAACACTGCCGGGCCGCCCACATTGGAGTACAGCTTGCACCACCCTCTTTCAGCACAGTGCGTTTATATCTTACATGCTGGTTCATCTGTAGGTGTGTATGTGTCTGCGTGTATTGATATAATCAGGGGCTGCCTGCCCTCTGGAAAAAACAAACGAGAGAGGCAACTTGACGCCTGTAGCAGCCAATCGCTGCCAAACGACGCTGCGTGTGTGCATATGTTTGTACAGATCTGGATATGGATTGGCCTTCGGGCCATCCCGCCCCCGAGCCCGAGGTGAGGAAGGCCTGAAGTATGTCCGGCCGGATGCCGCGGGGGGGGCCTCTCCGGGGGCTGGCTGGAGGCCCCTTTGGGAACTGCCTCTCAAGCAGTGGCGAAGCGCCCTGGCGCGCCTACAGGCCTACCAAGCACTGTTCTAATAAACTGTTGTGGTTTCCCCGACATGTTCTCAGACCATTCCTGGCTGGGACTCTTCTGTTTAATCGCATCGGCTTTCTCTGCTCGAAGCACTTTGTCATTGTTCTTGTTCTTCGCACCAGTGACAAGTGTGGGTTCTAAGAACATGTCGTGGTAGGCCAATAGGAATGTCGGGACGGTCGGTCTCTGCTCAAGCTCCAGGGAGGGCCTCCTTCGGGCTCGTCTTGAGGGCGGTCTCCCTGGGGCCTGCTGGGGGCACCTCGGCGCCTCCCGGGAGCCTCCTGGGGGCCCTCCCGGGGCGGAGGGCCCGACTGCTCCGTCTTTGCTCCCCCCTCTTGGGTTACGTCGGGCGTGTCCCTCTGCAGGAGGAACATGCCACAATAATCAAACAAATAGTCGAGGGACGATTTTTTAAGTATTCGTTGATTATTTTGGTGTATGTTTTGATTTGATTTAACTTTTCGCCCGGAATCCGCCTGTAGGGGGACATGCCCGACCTAACTATTGTGCCCTTCTTCGGACTGCCTTTGGGCCCTCTTGGGCCGGCCTGGGCGCCTCCGAGGCAGTCTTGCAGCCCTCTTGCGCCGTCCCGGGATTCCCTCTCGGGGGCCTCCTGGGCCGTCCTGGGGCGGTCCTGTGGGCCTCTTGGGCCGTCATGGAGCGCTGGAGGCTGGAAGAGTCGAGGGGCCCCAAAAATCGTGGAGCAGCCCATCGAACAATCGGCGTGGTTGGCCTCTCGGGGCCCTCTCGGGCTGGCTCTCAGGGGCGTCCGGGGACGCCTCTCGGGCGCTCGGCCGGCCGACTGGAGACCCTCATTGGGCGCCTGGACGGGTCGTGCGGCGGTTCGGGGGGCCTTCCTGGACCGTTGTGTGGGGCCCTCTCGGACGGGCTGCGCTACCCGGGGACGCAGGCCCTTTTGGAGTCTCCGGGAATCCCCCGGAAGTCCCAGGCAATCCCATGGGAGTCCCCTGGGCAACCCTGGGGATCTTTGCGAAACCGGTGTCCCCGGCCCCACTATCTGGCACCGTGCCTTCAGCCTGCCAGTACGGGTAATTAGAAGGCACGGTGGCGGATAGATGTATGCACAAATGCGCGCACATGCATGCTATATATATATATATATATATATGTGTATATATATTTGTAGATATAGAAATAGATGCACATCTATTCCGTAGCACCTCGCAGTTGCGAGGGGGTCGCGGGTGGGTCGCGGGGGGGGGGGGTCGCGGGTGGGTCGCGGGTGGGTCGCGGGCCCGGTCCAAACAATAGAAAACGCAACAACAATACTCTGCACCACGGAATATCTATTCAGTTACGCGCCCAGGGGCAGTAATTTACATGTCGGCCTCCTCTCCATGATATACGTGCCTACATAAATACATACATACGTACATACATACATACATGCATGCATGCATGCATGCATGCATGCATGCATGCATGCATGCATGTACACATGCAAGCATACATGCATCCATCCATCCATCCATTCATACATCCATGCATACGTACATCCATACATCCACACATCCATACATCCATACATCCATACAGACGTATGCACATACATACATGCATGCATACATGAATGTGCATGTATACATATATGTATGTATATCTGGCCTCCTTTCTCTGATATGTCTACCAACGCATACATATTCCCCAATCAGTGCTTGCAATGAAGGGGTCCTAGCGGAAGTTTGTTCCCGGGCTCCCGGGTTCCCAGTTGATCCCTTCAGCGCAAGCCATCCACTGACTGGGATTTTTTGCTCTGGTGCATTATTTATATATTGATACATATATATATATATATACACATTTGAAACACATATACATATATATATATATATGTATAGGTGTGTGTATATATATATGTATGTCCAGAGGTGTTTGTATATGATCACAAGGCTTACGTTTTTCCAACACCCGCAAGAGGAGATAATCTGCGTGTTCTGGGGGGAGGAGTGGTGGAACCACCATGCTTGTAGAGAGCACCAGAGCATGGGGCGCAGAGTATCAGGCGATCGTAAAACTGGAACAAGGGGGCGTGGATTGGCGACGGGTCCCGTTCCATGAGTCATCACGGATTTCTGCCGCCGAGCGAGGCGGCATTGGCCGCACTTTTGGGAGGGCACCTCCCCCGATCCATGGATTTGGCGACCGCGCGCCTAATCCATGGATCGCTAATCCATGTTTGCTTGCGCGCCCCCGAAATGCTTGTAGAGAGCACCTGGGCATGGGGCGCAGATGAGGGCAGGAGGAAGAGGAGGAGGAGGAGGAGGAGGAGGAGGAGAAGGAGGAGGAGGAGGGCAGGAGGAAGAGGAGGAGGAGGAGGAGGAGGAGGCAGGAGCCCTGCAGAGTGCGGGGCAGCTAGGCTGCATCACGCCTCCACCGCGGTCCTCCGCCGCCCTGTCCTGCGCTTCCCTTCCCGCCCTCCCCGTCACGCCCTGCCCTGCTCTGCCCTCGCCCCCCGGCACCCTCCTCTATGCATTCAGTCGGGCGTGTCCCTCTTTAGAAGGAATGCTCAAAACTGGTAAAAAATATTGTTTCAATATGTTTGAATGATGTTTGATTCTGTTTAGGGTATTTTTGATGTTTCGTCCAAAATCCCCCTGTAGGAGGACACGCCCGACCTAACTCTATGCAGCCAAGACGCCGGAAGGAGCCCTCTGGGCTCCAGGCTCCGGAGGGGCTCTGGCATCCGGGCTCTCGGGGTTGCCTCTCCGTGGTCGAGAGCTCGCCGTGGCCAGAAGAGCTTCGTCGCTCCTCCTTCAGCGTTCTTCCTGGCAGCGCGGTGGCCGTGCCTCCTCCTCCTCCTCTTCCTCCTCCTCCTCTTCCTCCTCCTTCTCCTCTTCCTCCTCCTCCTCCTCCTCCTCCTCCTCCCCCTCCTCCTCCTCCTCCTCTTCCTCCTCCTCCTTCTCCTCCTTCTCCTCCTCCTCCTCCTCCTCCTTCTCTCCCCCCTCCTCCTTCGCCCCCTCCTCCTCCCCCTCCTCCTCCTCCTCCTCATCGTCCCTGCTCGGCACGCCGGGCTCTCCGTGCCCCCCCCTTGCCCCTGGCCTGCCCTCGCCGCAGGCGTGCCCAAGCTCGGGCTGCAGCAGGCGTCGTTCCAGGCCCAGGCCGGGAGGTACCAGACCAGCACCGCCAACGTCGGGTCACCGGGGGGGAATTGGCATTGAGAGACCTCGGGGGCCTTGAGTCAAGGGCATAAGAAACGCCCTTACCCTGGTTTACGAGGCGCTGTGCGCTGAAACTCCTGTGGGCTGTCAGGGTAAACCCTGCGTGATGTGCGGCGTCCTGGCGGCTCTCTAGGCTGGAGGTTTACAGACCACGCACTTGTAACCCAGGGTTTACAGACCAGCACTGCCAACGTCGGGTCACTGGGGGGGAATTTAGGGGAACAAAAAGTTGCATAAACATAACAACTCGGAGGTCCGCGCGGATTTCTCGGATCAGCGCTGGACCCCCCTCCCTGGCGCGCTGAGCGCGCCAGGGGCGGCGCCGGAGGCGCCGCCACGGGCCCCAGCGCCGATCCGAGAAATCCGCGCGGACCTCCGAGTTTTTATGTTTATGTCACTTTTTATTCCCCTAGAATTGGCATTGAAAGACTTCGGGAGCCTTGAGACGGAGGTCAATGCAAACGGGGGTCAGCCAGGACACCGGATCCTGCAGGATCCTGCGATCGACCCCCTGTGGCCGACCCGGGTTCAGCGAGCCGCGAGGCGGCCGCGCATGTGGCGAAGACATGCGTTGCAGTTTATTTGTCCTGCACTTCAGTGTTTGGGTTCCCTGCTGACCTGGGTCTGGATTGACCCGGGTCAGGAGGTCCCCGAAGAGACAGGCGGTCCAGGAGGCAACGGGTCGGGCCGTTCTTCCTTACCCGACGGGTATGGGGTCGCTAGGTTCGAAGAGCAGACCTCCCGCCCCGCCCCCCCTGCATGCCGCAGCCGCCGGGTCCCGAGGTCCACGGGGAGTTCCCCGAGACTCCCGCCCATCCAGACCCGACTCGCCCACTCTGCATGCCGCGGCCGCTTCTATCGATTCCCTCCCCTCTGTGAGCACGAACGAACATCACTCACGACACAGAACACGGCAAAACATAGCATGACAGATCCGAGCCACATGAGTGCACGTACCATGACAGGACAGAGCAGAGCATAACAGAGTATCGCATGACATGGCATGCCATATCATAATAACGCATGCAATGGCAGAGTGGAGCGTACATAACATAGCACACAGTCGCACAGCGTAGCATAACTGTGTATGCCATGCCATGCAGCAGTATCAGAGCCCCGAATCATCAGGGGTAACTCGGGTCAGGGATAACTCGGGTTCGTTTTTCGGGAATCCAATCCCGAGTTACCCCGGAACCGAGTTACCCCGGATAACTCGGGCGTCCAGAGCCCCAGAATCATCAGGGGTAACTCGGGTCAGGGATAACTCGGGTTCCTTGTTCGGGAATCCAAACCCGAGTTACCCCGGACCCGAGTTACCCCGGATAACTCGGGCGCCCAACAGTATCACCGAACATACCCAAACATTGCAGACCATACCATACCATACCATGACACATCATCACAAACTGGATCGCACTATCACACGACACGACAGAACGTGGCATCACAGATAAGATGGCCAGATCGCAGATCATATCATAACATAGCAGCGCGACAGAACAGATCATAACTAATCACATTACCACTCATACCATACCATGTCAAACATGGCATGGCATAGCGGAGCACGGCATAGCCTATCATACCTGAGTCGTTGTTCCACATGGCAGACGTGTATTACTAGATAGCATAGCACCATCGACTCTAACATGGTTGCATATGTATGCCATAATCAACACACGCCATACCAGAGCTAAACGTACAGAGTATAGTGGATTCAGCAGATCAAACACTTACAACACATAAGAGCACACCATGACAGGATCTGTCGCAGTATGACAGAAGAGGCCATAGCACACCATTCGGATCTGAAAGTCACACAGTCAATCACAGTTGAAGAGGGACAACATACCACAATCAACCGCGCCTTACTAGAATTAATCGCGACGTGCGTGCCGGGGGCAGGCTAGCCATAGCAGTAACCAGCAGCAGGTCTGACCGACTGGACGACGTATCTAACGTGAGAGGCGTCACGACGTCACGCTGGCCCGTCGATAACACAACAGAGTAGAACGTCGTATGACAACTTTGACAATGAGGGACCGTACCAGAGTTCGACACTGCTAATACAGACCAATTATCCGCGCCCTGTCAAAACGCAGCATCCACATCGACGTATTGCTGGCGGCAGGACAGACAGGCGCAGGAACGACCGATTCGACGACCTACCAAACTTGTCAGGCCCCACGACGTCACGCCGATCCGTCGAGACCAGTACAAAGCAAGACACATGCGCACATAACATAACATATCATACCATAACATAACGTCAGTCTAGAATACAACAGAGACCGAGCAATGCCGTCCTATCATGCGCGACATGCGTGCCAAGCCCACGCGGGCCAGAGAATCAGGCAGTAGCAGTGACGACGGATTAGATGACATCTCAAACATGGTATGCGTCACGACATTACGCGGGCTCGTCCAGAACAGAAAACAGCATAATGTAATGTCATTGATTACGTTGGGGTAGAAACCAAGCTAACAGCATCAATTACAATAGTACAGGGAAGTCGCAAATGCACGACGTCTCACGAAACGAACCTGATGACATAAACGATCGTACCATAATATAATCCAACGCGGCGTGCGCGCCGATGTCCAGCGGGCCGCATGAACAAGCAGGCGCAGCAGCGATCGGTGGGACGACTTGTCTCATTCTGCAGGCGTCGCGGCGTAACGCCGGCCCGTCGGGAACAATAGCACACCATACAGTCATCTTAGAGCATGGTGGAACATGATACAGTTGAACCCGCTGCGGCGATAGATTCATGAAGCACTGCCAGACGTTTCATCCACGTCGACGTAAGGCTGGTCACAGGACAACCAGCAGGCGCAGCAACGACCGACTAGACGCCACGCCGACCCGTCGAGAGCAGAATGCAACAAGTGCAGGGCAACCCATATTTGCATAGTTCAGAGCAGCGTCGATCACAGCGCGTCTGATCAAAGACGAGGCGCGCGCCGACCTCGGACGGGCCACACTGACAAGCAGCACCAGACTCCAGAACACACGCCGGAGGTTTCGGTGGGGAGCGCTCGAAGCTTTTGATGTGTGCCCGTCGACCGTACACGGCCCGCGGGCTCGTCGGGCCACGGGGCACGTCAAGAAGAAGCGAGTCGGCATGAGCATCTCGTCCTCGTGGGCCAGGACCCGTTTCAACAAGGGCTCCCACGCGGGCGCGAAGTTCTTCGCGCTTCGCGGTCCTCGTTCCTTCTCCCCCTCCTCCTCGTCCTCCTTTCCTCCCTTTGGGGGGGCGGCGCGAGAGCGCGAAGTTATTCGCGCTTCGCGCGTCGCGGAGCGCGAAGCGCGAAGTCGGGAGCCCTAGTTCAACCAGGCCCCCTTTTGGCGCCAAGTGCGCACGCCCGTGTTCTCGAGTGCCTGCGGGTCGTTCGGGTCGCGCGCGGAGCGGGTCTGCATCTCCTTGCTTCTGTGTCCTCGCTCGCTCGCCGCGCCAAGGCCATGCATATGCTCGCCTCGCCTCGCTCCCAGTCCGGGACGGCATCGGCTTGGCTCCAGCTCCGTCGACAAGCGTCCGATGGCAGTTGGAGTTGGCGCGTCCTGTTGGCTGAGGACCCGCCGATGCTTTCGTCGCCGCGGGGCGGGGGAGGGGGGGGGGGCGACGCTCGGCCCCGTCCACCAGCGGTTTTTCTCGATCCCGGAGGCCTGAGAACCAAAGCGAGCAAAAGTGCCCGTCGGACGGGCGGTTGTCTTTTTGAGCAGGCCTCCGATTGCATGCGGCCGAATCCCCCCAAATACTGCAGTAGTGCCTCTGTGCCTGGCCGTGGCGAAGAGGGGCGGGCTTGCCCGGCGCGAGTTTGGCCCAAGTGAAGTAACGCTCTTGTCGGAACAGGAGTAGAGCCAAGAGTCCGAGGCAGGAATTTAGACGTGACCACCGCCTGGAGGGTCAGTTTTCGGAGCCTCAGCAGGCGTTGGATATGGACATATTCGGGCTCCCCGGGGCCGAAATGTATCCATATCCACCGCCCGCTGGGGCACCAGGACGTCAGTTCCCAGGCGGTCGATCTGGATAAACCCCCGCCTCGCAAAGAGAAGCTTCCAACCCGTCCTGGCGATTTCCCGGCGCGTGTGGACGTCCGTCCGTCCAGCCGCTCCTCTCGCCTCGGAGCTGGTGCTCGGCCCCCTCCTGGACGACGCCGCCGCGGCGACGAGCATGTCGAGGCGCGCCCGGCCGTGGCCAGGAGGAGTTTCCTCCGGAGCCGGAAATGCCCGACCCCTGAAGGTCGTTGCCCTCTTTTTCGATGCTCCTCCTCCACCTCCTCCTCCTCCTCCTTCTCCTCCTCCTCCCTCCTCCCCTCCTCCTCCTCCTCCCCCTCCTCCTCCTGCTCCTCCTCCTCCACCTCCTCCTCCTCCTCCTCCTCCTCCCCTCCTCCTCCTCCTCCTCCTCCTCCTCCTCCTCCTCCTCCTCCTCCTCCTCCTCCTCCTCCTCCTCCTCCTCCTCCTCCCCCTCCTCCATCTCCTCCTCCTCGTCCATGTCCTCCTCCTCCTTTTCTAGGGCCCGCCGAAGGGATATGCTCGACTCCAGTGCGACTCAGGTTCGACTCAGGTTCGACTCAAGTCGACGGACGTGCGACGCAGCTTCGACGCACGCGTGGAGCGAGCGGCTCCAAGAAGGTCCTCAGAACGAGCATCGAACTCTTCTTCCTCCTTCCCTCCCTCCTGCTTGGGTCGGGGGGCTGCGGAGCCGCGCTGGAGGAGGGTGGAGGCGGAAGAGTTGGGAGAACACGGAGGAGCAGGATGGATGAGGGAGGAGTGGGAGAAGGACACATGGAGTGTGGGGGGGGGGGCCTTTCAAGAAGCCATACGCTTTTCGTCAGGGTGCCCTGGTTTTTTTTCGCTCCGCGCGCTGCGCGGCGACTTCACGCAGCCGTGAAAGAAGCTGCTCCGTTCAGGGTGCTTCGGGCTTCCCCTCGGGTGCACCTCGCGCGCGGGTTTTCAGTGTTGGGCTTCTTG